GTCCATTGGGATTAGAGTTTTCACTTGTTTCTTGAAGTGCAGATTTCGTGGCAGGTGCAGCACTTTGTGAACCTCCATGTGCAGATTTCGTGGCAGGTGCAGCACTTTGTGTACCTCCATGTGCAGATTTCCTGGCAGGCACAGCACATTGTGAACCTCCATGTGCAGATTTCGTGGCAGGTGCAGCACTTTGTGAACCTCCATGTGCAGATGTCGTGGCAGGTGCAGCACTTTGTGAACCTCCATGCGCAGATTTCGTGGCAGGTGCAATACAAAATGCGTTGTGGAGAGATAGCGAAGGCTGTATTTTTCAATGGAACCGGTGGCTCCGAAGCTGGCAAGTCAAGGTCTGCGGAACGACGGTTGCGAGACGGTCTCGGGTCATGCTCGGATCATGCTCGGGCATGGTCGGAATCGTCCGTCCATTGGGATTAGAGTTTTCACTTGTTTCTTGAAGCGCAGATTTCGTGGCAGGTGCAGCACTTTGTGAACCTCCATGCGCAGATTTCGTGGCAGGTGCAGCACTTTGTGTACCTCCATGTGCAGATTTCCTGGCAGGCACAGCACTTTGGGAACCTCTATGTGCAGATTTCGTGGCAGGTGCAGCACTTTGTGAACCTCCATGTGCAGATGTCGTGGCAGGTGCAGCACTTTGTGAACCTCCATGCGCAGATTTCGCGGCAGGCGCAGCACTTTGTGAACCTCCATGTGCAGATTTCGTGGCAGGCACAGCACTTTGGGAACCTCCATGCGCAGATTTCGCCGCAGGTGCAGCACTTTGTGAACCTCCATGTGCAGATTTCGTGGCAGGCACAACACTTTGTGAACCTCCATGTGCAGATTTAGTGGCAGGTGCAGCACTTGGTGAAGATTTCTTCGCAGGCACAGCACTTTGTGAGCGTCGAGGTGCAGAGTTCGTGGCAGGCACAGCACTTTGTGAGCCTCGATGTGCAGATTTCGTGGCAGGCGCAGCATCTGCGGAGCTGGAAGCTGAGAACTGGCGACTTTGTAGTACAACTTTAGTACGCGGAGCAATCTGGGGAGCTGGAAGAGTACGCGGAGTATCTGGGGAGCTGGAAGATGAGAACTGGCGACTTTGTAGTACAACTTTAGTACGCGGAGCAGTCTGTGGAGCTGGAAGCTGGGAACTGGCGACTTTGTAGTGCAACTTTAGTACGCGGAGCAATCTGGGGAGCTGGAAGCTGAGCACTGGCGACTTTGTAGTACAAGTTTAGTACGCGGAGTATCTGCGGAGCTGGAAGATGAGAACTGGCGAGTTTGTAGTACAACTTTAGTACGCGGAGCAGTCTGTGGAGCTGGAAGCTGGGAACTGGCGACTTTGTAGTGCAACTTTAGTACGCGGAGCAATCTGGGGAGCTGGAAGCTGAGAACTGGCGACTTTGTAGTACAACTTTAGTACGCGGAGCTATCTGGGGAGCTGGAAGCTGAGAACTGGCGACTTTGTAGTACAACTTTAGTACGCGGAGCAATCTGTGGAGCTGGAAGCTGAGAACTGGCGACTTTGTAGTACAACTTTAGT